CGGGCTCTCCGGGAGGTGTTGGTGCGGGCGCTGCCCGCTGGAGAGCTGCGCGCCTACTGCGCCCTCCTGGCCGGCAAGGCCGCCGTCTTGGCCCAGCAGCGCAGCTTGGACGAGCGGGTCCGGCTCCTTCAGGACCAACTGGAGGCCGTCAGGAGCGGCCTAGGCCACCAACCCCCATCTCCCAGGCCGGCCTCTTCCCACGGGAACCGTCCTCCGGATAAACCTCCCTTCTCCCCTCTGCTTATTTAGTTGTCAGCGGTGGCGGTGGGGAGCTTGGCCCCTGCCTTTCACTCACGAGGCCGGGGGTGACGCTGGTTTATTCGGTGCTTTTCCCGTGGGGTGGGGGTGACCCAGCCAGGCCCTCCCAGGATACTGCAGAGTATTGTCATGTGGCCTCACCCAAGCCGTGTGATTATGTGGTAATTAACATGGATTTTACAAACTGCAGTATTCCCCCTTTCTGTGATGAGAGATGGGCTTGGTCAGGGTTGGGTGGAGGGCGATGAGACAAGTCGGAGTCTTGACTTAAGGTGCAAAACAGCCTTTTTCTCCTCTCAATAAAAACGGATGTGAGAAGTGTGAGGCCACCTGAGCATGGTTTGGGGGAAGGGTTTTGTTTACTGATTACAGACAGCCCCTTACCTGACCAGAGCAGAAGGGGGAATTGTTGGAGGATATCAGGGAGGTCTGAGAATCAGGAAGACGAGAACTAGGTTTGAAAACAGGAGGGGCCAGTAAACCCTAACTGTTCTGGTAACGTCACTACCAAAGCCAAGGCCTGACTGCCTGAGTCAGGTCTCCTTTGCTGGTTTTACCCAAGTCCCCAACCTCAGTCGTGGAAGTGGGGTACTGCCTCCCTTCAAGACTCCATGGATATGGATAAAGTCCCCCATGTTTTCCAATGTTTTGCTGCCTAAGAACCCCGACAAATGCCCAATACACTTGGAAATTTGGGGACATTCATTCCAAGAGCTTTCTTCCTCTTCCAATTATGTTATCAACATTGACTTTATCCCACTCTCCTATGGAGACTCCCCTGGGTCAGCCAGGCTTGAGGAGGCAGCTGGGGGTGGGAGCAGAAGGTGAGGCATGGGGTGGGGGGGTGCTGGAGACCTACCTGTGAGAGCTGAGGCCCCGGGGAGGCAGCTCATCTGTGTGCTGGGGAGGCAGCTCATCTGTGTGCTAGAGACGCGGACTTGGGGGTGGGCTGGGGGTGGAGGGGCTGAAACAGGACAGGCACTCCTCCATTTGTGCATCGGCCCAGTGGACCCAGTATCGGTGTTAGGTTCTCAAATACACCTGTGCAAGTCTGCTTCAGCCTTTGGAGCTGCAGACACCAGGGCGATTCAGAGCATGGTTCATGCAAACTCTGTATTTTTGGAAGCTGGGCACATTAAAAAGCATGTGTATTTAAAGCCACGGACCCCAAAGTGAGAAATCGCTGCTGCTGGGCTTGTTTTCTGATGCCTATTGTCACGAAGTGCAACTGGGTGGGAATTTTAAATGGTGGCATTCATAGCAGAAGCGTTAGTGACAACAGTGGCGCTATTGAGCACAGAACAAAGCTCACATTGTGCCTTTTTATAAAAAACATATGGGGCTCCTGCAGAGGCAGTTGCGGGTTCTAACGTTATGCTTTGAACACTGCGGAGCCCCGGCTCAGCCTAGCAGGGCAGCTGGCTTCTAGACACGTTCTGGATGGAATCTACTTATTTCTGTCTTTTGCCCTGTACAGGCCCCATTGCACTATCCCACTGTGACATTCGTAGAAACACACTTAAAGGGTCCGTTAGACCAGTGGAAATTGAGTATTTCAGAGAAAGCACTCCCAGGCCGGAATGGCCAGAATGGGTGGAATGGGCCTGGGGAGCAGCGTCTGCCATTGTCCAGTTAAATTGCACTTTGGTTCTGTGTTGCGGTCCCCCTGGGGCAGTACAAGGCTTCTCTGTTTTGCCCTACAGTTCGGGGGAGCCACCAAAGTAGGTGGACACCAACTGCGCCCGACTTTTCATGTTGTCCCGTCTCCCTCCTGCCCGTTATTCTCCCGCCCACACCGTTATTCTTTTAGAGCGCAGGAATGAGCTCACCATGGGTGTGCACTATTGGTACCACAAACCCAGCCTTGAAGGGCCAGGAGCCGGGTGACTGTCACCTCCAGGACGCTGCCAGCAGAGGGCACTGTTCTCCTTGCGATGGAAGCTGCTACCCTCACTGGACCACCTGCCGCCTCCCAACCACCAGGTCCTCTGGGCCAGCCGCGGGGGAGCAGCGTCCCTGCTGGGCCTGGAGGCTGGGGTTAGGCTATTTTGCTTCTGTCGGAAAGCAATTCTGGCCAGGCAGCCCTTGGAAAGGCTGTCTCGCTTTCCTTAGATGTTGGTTAATGAGAAGTGAAGAGGAGGGAAGCCGGGGGTGTTGATCTCGAGTATCAGTATAAAAAAAGTCCCCCAGGGTGGAACAGGGTCTCTTAGGTCTGGGAGGGCTTCCCACCCTTTCCCCCCCGCAGCCTGCAACAGGCAGCCCAGCGACCGCCTCCCCGGCTCGCCTCCTCCCGCCCTCGCTGCTGCTCCTAATATGGGTGTTATTCGTGTACTTTTACCTTCAGACTGCAGATTGGAAACGGAACAGGGAAGCAGTGTTCGCGTGCCCCAAAGCGGCGCCAATCTGCTTTGCACAGCCAGCTCCGCACGCCACGTACCTCCGCGGGCGGCTGGCGAAAACCTCGGGGATCCTCGCTTGTAAATCAGAAGTTTAAGAGGGGATTTAGATCAATTGTGGTCGAGAGCCCCAGAGAGGGGAGGTGAACGGGGAGTGCGGGGGCGGTGGGAGGCAATTGTTCTAACGCAATCTTCTCCTCGACCCTGCAGTGTCATTCACAACAGGTACTGTTGGCTTTGAAATTTCAATCAGCATCAACTTCCTACTAGGAGCACTTCCTCCCCCCGCCCCCCACCCCTTGCAGGAGAGGTCTGTCGCACCTCCCTCTCTCCCTCCCCCTTCCCTCCCCCTCCTTCTCCTTGTCCTTCTTTCCACTTCCCTGTAGCCACACCCGAGGCTACCTCTGCTTCAAGGTTCAAGTCCAGAGGTGTGGCAGTTCTGGAATGGTGAGGCCAGGGCAGAGGTTGAAGGCAAAGAGCTACCTGGAGAGGAATAGAGTTTGTTTATTTATGCAAACATTTTAAAAGGTCAAATAATTTATTGAAGGAAAAGGCCCAAATGCAGGTCCTGGTGTTACTGGAAAGGGGACCCGGCCCTGAGCGGCTCTGCCTAGGACCAGCAGTAGTGTGCTGGCAGGGAGGAGGGATTTCACAGCATGAGTCCAGGTGACTCTGAGGGAACATTTATTAAAGCTGGAGACAGTAAGACAAGGAAGGGCTTAACATAGAAGCAACAGGAGAGCCTAGGCTGGCTGCCTTAGCTCTCTGGGGAGTCAGAGACAAGGGGGCCTGGGGACGGTTCCGGGGAATAGCCTGGGAGGAGCTGCCGCTGCCCATTGCTCCCTGGTCGCAAGCCTCATGGGGTTCTTTAGAATGTAGGAGATTAGAGTTTACTCGCATGCCTGTGGGGGGAGAAGGTGGTGAAGGGAATGGGGGATGGGCTGCTCCTCAGAGGCGAGCACAGGCTGGGTCCTTGGTGTTGAGGGTATTTATCTCACTCTGGCAGCTGGGAAGCTCAGGGGAGGGTCTCTATACAATGTCCGTCAGCTTTTCCGGTGTGTTCTTTCAGGGTCACGGTCTCCCCTGCTTGGTCTGGGCCCCAGGGCAGGGGGTCATTAGTCAGTGCAGCTGGTCCTGAGGCAGCCATGGGAGTCGCTTGTCTGGTTTTGCTGCTATTTGGGGCCTGGAGCTGAAATACAACTGATGCCTAGATGTTATCTTTAAGGAGGAAAAGGTCTGGGGGGTCGCCTAAACCACAGGACCAGCAATATGCTAGCGGTGGAAATGTTACCCTGGGGTGAGGTTCTTGTTTTCCCAGTTTTGCCCCTGGCGAGGCACCCAGGACTTTCTGCCCTGGTGACCTGTACCTGGCCCATCATCCTTGGTCTGCTCATGTCTAACTGCCTACAATGAAGCATGGGCCATCTTGTTCCAGTAGCCTCTATGTTGTAAAATCTGCTGTTTAAAATTTTCCACAAAAAACAGATGGTCCCTTGTTCTGTTCATTAATTTTGCTATTTTGGCTTCTTTAAACATGCTTGCTCAAATCTCTGCTAAGGTAAGGGTCTGGTTCCTCCCATGCCAGGCATCTTCTGGTTATATCTGAGTTGTGCTGTGCTCAAGGCCATAAGCTCCCTGCAAGATAGTTACTAAGCTCACTGTCCTCCCATACCAGCACATAGGGCTTCTTTTATTTAATTTTTTTTTAAAGCCTACGAAAGGTCCGGAAGTCTCATTCCATATTTGGGATACAGAAACCTAGAAAATATAAAAAGGGAAAGCTTCCTCCATGTTTTTTGCTCAGACTCTGGAAACAATATTCCTCC